ATGACTACAGCTCTTGTAATAGCAGTCTTGTCTCTGCTGTAGTTCAGGATTCAACTCCATTGGATATGCACGAACCTATGTTCCTGTAAACCATTTGTTATAGTATTATTCTGGACCGTAGATTCAAGATAGAATCAAATTCTATTAGAGATGTTCCAGGATCGCTCATTTGTTAAAAGTAAATCAATTTGTAACGTAATTGCAGCGACAGCCCTCCATTCAAAACGCGGCGCTTTCTGTTTTAAAAGGCTTCCGATATATCAAGTGGTGAAGCATTGTAATGATTAAAACATATTACTTTAGCGATTCCACAGTCTTCATGTAGATGTTAACGAAGAGTCAAAACTTGTTAAGAACAAAGCGTGTCAATTCGAAGAACACGTAGTCTTGTTAGCTAGCTTTAACTATTCTTCCTCCGTTCTGAAGAACTCCATTTGAACATGATCGTGCTTCAAACCCAGACAAACCTCAGCTTTAATTTGGAGTCTAATACCATCCATTGGCGCACCACTTCTCCGCAGCGATACGAACTGCCTTGAGAGTTGACAAAGCATAAAACACGAATCAAAATACTGCCTGGGTGAACCTCTCTCTAACATATTGGCACGCATAAAACCCCCTTTCAATCTGATCGCTACTTGATGCATGTACTGTTAGCACTGTTTGGGTCAACTGCTAGTCGACGCACGAGCGGAACGCGAGTGGGCTCGGCAGTTCCTAGACCTCAAAAGCACAGGCGTACGGGCAATTTTTTCCAGGGGTGGGGGTGGGGGGACAGTGAATCATTTCCCAAAATATTTTCGCAAGTTGCCCAAATTTTTCCAAAAATTCGAGCACAAAAGAGGGTCATAGGATTCACTAACATAAGCCTGCACATGGAGTGAAAATAATCTTACACTTGATAGGTCACGTTACAAGTAGAACACATATGCATTAAAAAGAAATAACTGACTCTGCCATTGCAACGGCCAAAAATATCCATGTCATTATTTAGTACAGAGTTGGCATATTCCCTTTCAATGTTAATTAGTGCGATGTTCCTGACACGCTGTTATCCCTTGTAATCATAAATTACAATTTTCTCGATTTTGATTGGTTTCCACTAATTTACTTGCCAAGTTGTTATCGGACAGTTTGTTATTGGACAGTTTGTTCTCGGACAGTTCAATAAGCCAATCACATTCAAAGTTGTAGTTTGAATCAACCAACCACATTCAAAGTTGTAGTTACGTGCGTGCGCGTGCGCGCTTTTGTGTTTTTGGCGCCTAATTGCCGGTAGGAGGCGCGGTGGCCTTAGAATGTTTACATCTCTTTTGTAGGTATTTTAATGCAAATTTCCCCTTTCTTTCATAACTTGGCTATTCTTCTTTTCTCGGAAATTGTAATTTTTATGATTAATTAGTAATAAGACTTCGTGTCGTCCAATTCGGTCGGTAATCATACTCGTGATAAACAAATCGGACTCCCGCTTCGCGGTCGTCCGATTTTGTAATCACTCTTATGATAACAGACCGAATTGGACTCCACTTAGTCCTATTACCATTACTTATTGCGGAGGTAGGTTTTCAATCTGCGCAACGTACTGAATGATCGTTCTGCGGAAAACGATGTAGTAGGTATCACTACAAGGATATGCACCACATTGGAAAAGTCTGGCAACATATCGAATAGATCTGTCTCATGCATTGTTTGCAGTATTTCTCAAACAGTCGTGGAATGGAACCTGCAGAGAATGAGCCTGATACTCAAGCTACGAGCGTTCGAAATAGTCGATAGTAAATGACTGAACGGCAAATCCAAGGAAAATGGTTTTAAGTTCGAAATAACGGGGAATTCGAAATAACCGAGTTCGAATTAGCGGAGTTTGGCAAAGTGGCATACAGCTGTTTCAAGAAAGGTTGTCCTATGAAAGTGCAAAAGCGTACGCGATAATGTCGAAGGGTATTATGGGTAATGAAGACCAACGGTTGCTCGATTGAAGTTAAAGGCATTTCATCATGATAGAGGGACACAGCACAAGCACGTATATTTATGCTTTTTCTTCCTGAAGCACTGTTAACCTCAAACGAGGAACGCCAAACTATTACACCCATAATTGACATAATATCAATCGGCATTGTCGCGTTCGCCTTTACGCTTGTGTGGGACAACCTTTGTTGAAACAGCTGTATATAGATTTTGACCGCTTTGGTCTGAAATAGGATAGTTTTTCACTCTGGCTTGGCACTGGGAATTCTTTTTCTTTTTTACAAGGAACTGATTTTTCCTACCGAGATTGGCAAATTTGTAGCCCTTCTGAAATGTTCACTCAAATGGAAACTATTTCTGGTCAGCTGCACCATGCAGTCATCTGATTAGAGTTGTGTAGTAATTTTAGATGTCTGAAATGTGTTGTCAATTTTTGGCTCAGGTCTGAAATAGCGTAAGAAATTCACATCGAATCACAGATTTTGGTCTGAAATATGCGAAGGGTTTCAAGATTAGGGTCACTCAACCCCCCCCCCCCCCCCCCCCCCCACCACACACACACAAGATTACCTCCCCCGGGTTACTATGCAAGTTCAGTGTTGAACTCTGAAAACAGGGAGGGAGCATATCAATTTTAATGGGAGTTTTTTTTTTTGAGTTTAGTGAATCAAAAGCTAGACTGGTGGGCGATACAATTCGTGGGACAATAATGAGTGCACTGTTTTGAGACTTTCCACTGTCGTCAATCGACAAGGCAAGGTTTCAATCAATCTTTGACAACATTTTGATGGGTTCTTTTTGATTTTACCAATCAACAGCATCTCAGAAATGTGGGGATGAAGTTGTCATGCCAACATGACGTTGACAAGCTGATAATTTATGAGTTTATGAGAACCCATTAGCGAGTCGTCAAACATCGGTCAATAGGCTTTGTTTTAATGCGCGACATAAAGTCCATAGTAGATCGGTCTTTGTCTGGCAATCTTTCCGGGGAACATAAACATGCGGGCGAAGTTTCTGAGAAACATTGCTTATTGTTTTAAGTGACCATATATGATGAAGCGAATGCCACGTCTTTGTCTTTCTTAGTCAAAACATCTAGTTCAAATGCAAAGAGTCTGCCGTATAAAAATTGTGAATTGAATTGCTGAAAAATACACCCAACAATTTGCGAAATCAAAGAGCGTGGAGAGGTTGACGAGGATGTTTCCTTTTGTTTTTACAGTTATCGTGGCCCTTATATGTGCAAGCCCCAAAAGTTCTCAGGCGAGGACAGAGGGTAAGTACATAATAAGTAACTAAGATTTACACTATCCCTGAATGAATGTATTAAAAGTCATTCACATGATCACTCTTTGGTTTCTTCCTTGCTTTGCAACGACGTAAGACGTCGATACTGTCTAAAGCGTTTGACAAGCAACTTGGACGAACATGTAGTATAAAAATTATATTTGCTGCTTCAGTTATGTTTGTTCGTTGCTACTCGCGCGTTGAAACGATGGGCACAGCGTGGAGCGTCGTCGATCAAGACGCACCGAAGACTGACATGTGGGTGCGTTTCTTTAAGAAAATCTAAGATTGGATTCTTAAATCCGAAAGAATCCGAAAACGGATTTTGCGTTTCTTTGTTAAACAGAACAATCCAAGATCTCTCGGATCATGGTGCGTCAAAGGAACCGAAGAATCCACTCTGGATTATTCTATCTTGGATTTTCTTAAAGAAATGCAGTAGCTGCGGTAGCTGAACATGTATTAGTAAGCATATCGGCCCTTTTACTCGCTAACTTGCTTAAGATGATATCAGTCATCTCAAGCCACATGTCTGCAGTTATAGAAGAAATTAGAAAGAAATGATACTATTAACAAACAGCTTCCATGTCATGAACAGCCTGATAGCTTGAGATTAAACGAAGCAAAAAACTGTGCGCTGCAACAAGATTAAATCATCCTTTAAGAAGTATACAAACTTGATGTGTGTCAAATGTACAAATTTCTAGCATTTTTGGAATCCGCACTATGTAGAATATCACTGGGAATGTTCCAGTGCAAGATCTTTCAACGTTTTCCCCTTAATTGCTACTGTCTAGTGAGTATGAGGTACGGAGTTGACTTCGCTTTAATAACAAAAAAAGAACCGTCAGCCGGCTAGTGGAATATTAATGCAGCAGAGATCGATTTCCTTTATACATACTAAGAACCTGTTGTTAACTGCCGCTAGCTTTGCTTCGGACACGATTTCGTAGATCTACGCATTTCTTATGTGCTCTTTCCCTAAAACTTCGCATCCCAGAAAAAAGGNCACCATTTCCACGTTTCATTCAAAATGTAGTTTTTTCGCTGTAGTTACTGGTTCGCAGATTTCCCTTTTCAGTTGTGCAGTCGTGTTTCCCTCTTAAATCAGGGAATTCACACTAGATAATAGGAGCTGAGTAAATACTTGTAAATTCAGCTGAAAAAAAAACAACTGTGCGAGAAACTTACTACTGTTGCTATTTCGCTCAGACTCCACAGAAACAGATTAATTAGAATCGTGAATATAGCTGTGATCGGCATGAATCCAACCTGAGCGCAGAGAATTGATTAAATGGCTAAATCTATGGAGAGAAATAGTTTGCTGTCTTGTCCTTTGAATAAAACGTAATTTCAATACGAAAAAGACTGATTGCTTCCTTTGTACACATGCAGGGCTTGTCAATGTGGACATAACAGTCAGCACAAGTAAGCTGAAGGAAACCAGACAATTCTACACAAAATACTTGAAGTTCAAAGTAGTAAAGGAAACCCCTGGATTTCTTTCTCTATCACCCGGACCAGGTAGGTATTGAAACATGATGGATCATGATGCTTCTCCTCATGTGACTAGACCATAACAAGGACGTACAGCTTTCTTTGCTTCTTATTCTTGTTATTATTCGCTGACTCCTTCTCCACCCACCTCTTGTATGACAGTAGAGGAACAATTGTCAATCATTTGAAGGTGGTCAAAAATTACTATTATCATTAAGGAGGTGAGTAATGTTTGGGGTGACACCGTCTATTCTGAGCGGGACTTCAGGTCCAGAGGTTAGGGAATGAGCTTGAATTGTTGCAGATAAAAATGCTCCTCCGGTAACAACATGCTCGAGAAAAGCCTACGAAAAAGTGTAACCTGAGTGAGTGAGCGAACCCATAAATCCTCTAATATATTGATGTTCAAGATTAGCCAATAAATATATAACTAGAAGTTTAGTACGCTGTCACATTTTTAACAACCATACGCGTTTTTTTAACCTAAGTTTTGTTTTATTGTAGGAATAGCTTTTCTTGATTTCGTCGTGGAGGGTGCAGAGCATTCATGTGCCAGACCACAGTTGGCCAAGGAATTCGCGGGAAAAGGCATGTTCCTCACATACAACTTTGGAGACGTGGATGCTGCTTGTGAAGAGTTTAACAAGTCCGGCTATCCAATGGCCATGCCAATCAAAACTGAACCCTGGTTTGAACGTCACTGTTACGTCATAGATCCAAATGGAATACCGCTGAATCTGGCGCACTGGAACGAAACTCCAGCTGAGCCAAAGGGTGAAGTAATATTACGTTTTATGATCCGGTGTTAAATTGAGTGCCGTAAAATCTAAACCAAAGTTATCACTCCATTGGACCAATCAAAGCTCGAAGCATATACGCGTAATTGGTGCGGAGAGCAGGCAAACGTGTGCTACAAGTCGCGATAGGTTTCGGTTTATTTCTGATTGGTTGAGAAGGTGGCACGCGTTTTTTAAACCAATCATTAAGCGTAGACGGAACCATGTCACCTTGTTCAAGGTGATATGCTTCTGGGGTAGAATGTAAATCCAACGCAAACGCGAATTATGTTCGACACCGTAGCAAGCGACAATCACTCTATGTGGATATTTCAGTTTTTCTTTGTCATATGGAGAAAACTGGATTTAACAGAATCGAAATCTCGCCTTCTAATTCGTGAATACAAATCAAAAGCATTCGTGTGAGTAAGTTGCGATTTATCATACAAAAGGAATGAGAACGATCGAGCTGGTTAAACTAGTAGTAGCAAATTAACACAATTTTTTTCCCGTATGATAACAGGTGCTAGCAGCATGGTATTTTATTACACCTCTCATGATTTACAAGAACTACAAACTTGGTACAGCAAACACTTGAACATGACAGTGGAGAGAGGGGTGGACTGGGTTGGCTGGGTGTTAACGATGACCGCTGCTAATGGCACCGTGGAGTTTCGTCCTTTCCAACCTCGGAACATAACTTATAACCCAGCGTCTTTGATCCCTCATCTGCTGGAAGAGTTTGACGGACATGGTCTGTCATACACTTTTAACTTCAACACCTCGAGTGAAATTGATAGGTAAGAGTCATTACCGACAGGTGTCGCATCTGTCTGGTCACTATAGAGTCACGTTCTTTCTTCCACTATTATATACCCCAACATACCATTTTAATATGTCGAATTATTGTCGCGTTTCGATTGGTTCTGACGCATAAACAAATGTAGGGCAGACGCATAGATGATGTTCATTAACATTCTTTCTTTGTTTCTTTATTATTGTATCTAAAACCCAGAGATTCCATAAAACCAAGAGATTCTATTCACTAATAAATCACGGAAAACGTCACTGAAATTGTAGTAAGAACGCCAGTGACACACTGGGCTATCGCCTC